ATATTATTATTATTATTATTATTATTATTATTATTATTATTATTATTATTATTATTATTATTTAACTAATCCACCATAATAAGAAAATAAAATATTTTCTTGTACTTCTTTTTTATTAATTTAGGCAAAACATTACATCTATCTATACTTATATTAAAGGTGGTACTATATACCAAATTAAGTAGTCAGAAAAGTCAATAGCATTTATTGCATTACTATTTCCGTATTATATTATATAAAAGGATATTCTATTTACTACATTTATTATCCAGAAAAGTCAACTGCATTAAATGTCATTACTATTTTGGTATTATAATATTTTATTTATTTTATTGATTTATTAATTTGTTTTATTTTAAAAAGGTAAGTATAATAAAAAGATTTTAATAATAAAAAAATTAAATATCAAATAAAAATGTACACTTTGACTTATTTTATTATATTTGGTATTTGATTATACCAAATATATTCCTATTTAGTATATACATTAAATACTTACTAAAGTATTTATTTGTTTTATTTGTCAAAGTTAAGTATAGATTTGTTTATATTATCAAATCATAAAAAAAATTAAATCCATATTGTAAAAAAAAAATTCATATAATTTTATAACAATTCTACTACACTATTTAACAATATTCCTTTTTTATCATATAATAAAATAATAATTAAATATTATATGGTGAACAACAATAAGTAAAACTGTTACTTTCTCTTATATCAAGGGATAAATTTATATGCTAAAATTAAATTTTTATTAGTATAAATGTTTTAGTGAGATAATATATTAATTATTTTGCAAGCTAGCCCTAACATGCTCATATTTAATGTTTTAAAAGATGTAGAAAAAAAAACTTATAATAACTCTATTGTTTTTTAGACTTAAACGTTGATTAAAAGAGGTAGAAATTCCTAATTTTTTAGACTTAAACGTTGATTAACACCATAGATTGAGAGTTTATATTTAGTAAAATTTTTAATTGTAATAAAAAAATTAATTTTTGCTATATTTTAGAATATCTTTAAATTCATTATAAAAAAAAAGAAAAAAAAACTACAATGAAAAAAACAAGTCAACTATATATCGATTTGTTGTACTCCTCAAATCACATTCACAATTTGGCTACAAGGAAATGAAACTCATTGATTAAAATATTATTTTGTCAGTAGTCTTAATGTACAAGAGACTTTAAGACTCCACTTGAATATTATAAAATTTTTATTGAACATCGTACAATTTCTTGCGTATTATAAACTTTTATTGAATATTGCATCTTATAATATAATATTCTCCAAATAAATATATCTTNC